TAGTCTGTAGTGGGGTACTCAATAGTGAGTATAACCCTTTTGGGCTTGCTATTTGTATCCCCCTCCTTTCTAGTTCAAACCTTCTTCTTCCATTTCTCTCTCGTATACCCTAAACCCTAGCTATGGCTACTAAGTTCTGGCTAGGATTCTAACATGGTATTAGAGCCTTTGCGCTCCTGGCCTGTGGGCCCACATGCTTCCGCTGCTGCTGTCCTGTCTGTCGCGCGCCTCGTGGCGCGCGACGTTTTTTCTTCCCGCCACGCGCGGCGGTTTACTGCCTCACGCGGCGCCCCGGGGGCCCGCGCACTGCCCTGCCCGTCGCCCGTCGCGGCGCCCTGGGGGGCCGCGCGTCGCCCTGCCCGTCGCCCGTCGCGGAGCCATGGGGGCCCGCGCGTCCCCCCCCCCCCCCTCCCGTCGCCCGTCGCGGCGCCCTGAGGGGCCGCGCGTCGCCCTGCCCGTCGCCCGTCGCGGCGCCCTGGGGGGCCGCGCGCGCCCCTCCCGTCGCCCGTCGCGGCGCCCTGGGGGGCCGCGTGTCACCCCTCCCGTCGCCCGTCGCGGCGCCCAAGGGGCCCGCGCGTCGCCCCCTCCCGTCGCTCGTCGAGACGCCCTGGGGGCCCGCGCGCCGCCCCGCTTCCGCTCACACGTCGCCCCAGCTGCTGCCCGCGTTTCTGCCCTGCGTTGGGGGTATGGGGGTGGCGGGTGTGTGAGGCGTCCCCTGCTCCTCCTCCTCCTCCGTCTCCCACTGCTGCAGCTGCCGCTGAGGGGGGTGGGTGTGTGGGAGCCGAAGGAGTGGTGCTAGGGGGGTGACGTGGGAGTGGAGCTAGGGGTGCAGCAAGAGGTGTGTGAAAGGGGGGTGGGACAGTTGGGGGAGGTTGAGCGGAGGTTGAGCCGTCGTGTCGCCAGCAGCGCCAGTAGTCCGGAGGCTACAATCTCCGGTAGCCCAGCGAGCCTGCTGCGCCAGTCGCCCGTGGGTCAGTTGCTCCAGCCGCTCGGCGTAGCCGCGGAGCCAGTTACTCCTGTAGTCCGGAGGCTACAATCTCCAGTAGCCACTGAGCCAGCCGCTCCTGTTGCCCGTGTGTCTGCAGCTTCAGTAGTCGCCTCCCATCTCGTCTCCTCTCACATTCCCTCCTCCTCCTACTTGCCCTCTGTGAATGCCTCTAGCTTTGCTTGTCCTTGTGAACCTGCTCTATGACTGCTTGCTGTGCTGATTATACCCCACTTTGACTATGGGGGTGTGTCAGAATATTATGCTTGTCTAGTCTGTAGTGGGGTACTCAATAGTGAGTATAACCCTTTTGGGCTTGCTATTTGTATCCCCCTCCTTTCTAGTTCAAACCTTCTTCTTCCATTTCTCTCTCGTGTACCCTAAACCCTAGCTATGGCTACTAAGATTCATTTTTCTACTCTACACACAAGCATTCTTAACCGTTCAGAGCATCTCTGATCGACGGATAACATTCCAACCTGTTGGAAACTCCCCATCTCTCAACAGTGCGATTTGACTCGATCTGAGGCCGTTCAGTTTTCCAATCGACGGTTAGTATGTTTTTGTGGCTTAAGTTGCGCGAACACGACGGCGTGTGTTATTGTTATTGGCTGCGGAGTTTTACTTACTGTCGTCTTCACTAAACGTCACTAATTGTGTCAAAAAACCCGATGTCGCAAAAGCGATTCTATAAGATTGTAACAGTATAGGGTTTAGACAGTGTCGCAATCATTGTGCACACTGAACCGACAATATCGAGAATATTGCACTATTGAGGCAGGGTAGGGTCATTGTGTTGCCTTTGTAGGTGGGTGAGGCTTCATACCCTGTTGCGCGTTTGGTACGGGATACACTGATTGGCCGATGTGTCTGGTTTGTAAATGTTCCATAGCAAGCAACATTATATTCAGTGTCAGAATGTAGTTTGTCTAGCCTGCAGTGGGGTACTCTGTAGTGAGTACGACCCCTTAGGGTTTCCTATATGTATCCTCCTGCTTGCTAGTGAACATCTCTCCTTTTGCTCATTCTCTCTTGCCTAGCTAGGTAAACCCTAGCTATGGCTCCTCGTTCTGTGTACTCTTCTGACATGGAATCAGAGCTGTTACGCTCTTGGCCTGTGGGCCCCACGTGCTTCCGCTACTTTCCTGTCTGTCGCGCGCCCCGTGGCGTGCGACGCTTTTTTCTTCCCGCCACGCGCTCGGGGCGCATGGCGGTTTTCTGCCCGCCGTGCGCCCCGAGGCGCGTGGCGGCTTCCTTCTTCACGCGTCACCCCGGGGACCCGCGCGACCCCCCCCCGTCGACGGTCGCGTCGCCCCCCCTGGAGCCCGTCGCGTCGCCCCGCAACCCGCGCGCGTTCCCCGCTGCCCCGTCGCGGCGCCCTGGGAAGCCGCTCGCGGCCCCCCGCTGCCCCGTCGTGGCGCCCTGGGGAGCCGCGCGCGGCCCCCGCAATCTCGTCGTGGCGCCCTGGGGAGCCGCGCGCGGTCCCTGCTGCCCCGTCGCGCCGCCCTGGGGAGCCGCGCGCGACCCCCCGCTGCCCCGTCGCGGCGCCCTGGGGAGCCGCGCGCGGCCCCCCGCTGCCCCGTCGTGGCGCCCTGGGGGCCGCGCGCCGTCCCCCGCGCTCCTGCCCCGTGCCACCCGTTTTAGGGTTTGGGGGTGGCGAGTGTGGGGGTGGCGGTTATGGGGGTGCCGGGTGTGTGCGCTGTCCCCTACTCCTCCTCCTCCTCCGTCTCCCACTGCTGCAGCTGTCGCTGAGGGGGGTGGGTGTGTGGGAGCCGAAGGAGTGGTGCTAGGGGGGTGACGTGGGAGTGGAGCTAGGGGTGCAACAAGGGGTGTGTGAAAGGGGGGTGGGACAGTTGGGGGAGGTTGAGCGGAGGCTGCCGTCTTGTCGTCCGCAGCACCTGTAGTCCGGGGCGCTGTCCTGGTAGCCCACAGAGCCTGCTGCGCCTGTCGCCCGTGGGTCCGTTGCTCCTGCCGCTCAGAGTTAGCCGCAGAGCCAGTTACTCCAGTAGTCCGGGGCGCTGTCCCGGTAGGCACTGTGCCAGTGTGTCTGTTGCCCGTGTGTCTGCAGCTTCAGCCGTCGCCTCCTATCTCCTCTCCTCTCACAGTCCAGCCTCCTCCTCCTCACGTGCCCGTTGTGAATGCCTCTAGCTTTGCTTGCACTTGTGAACCTGCTCTATGACTGCTTGCTCTGCTGATTATACCCCACTTTGACTATGGGGGTGTGTCAGAATGTAGTTTGTCTAGCCTGCAGTGGGGTACTCTGTAGTGAGTACGACCCCGTAGGGTTTCCTACATGTATCCTCCTGCTTGCTAGTGAACATCTCTCCTTTTGCTCATTCTCTCTTGCCTAGCTAGGTAAACCCTAGCTATGGCTCCTCGTTCTGTGTACTCTTCTGACATTCAGCCTGTTGGGTCATAGGCTCGGCATGCGAGGTAGGTACAGGGTCGTGCAAAATTGTAAGTATATTCATTGTGTTGAGAACGTACCTACTCCAAACCTAGCACTGAAGTACCCACTTCGTAGCTCACTAGTCCAAACCCAACTTTTGCAATTTTGGGATTTAGTACCCTCCACCTCCTTCCCTACTCGGTCAAACACCACTCCCTGCCCTCTCTCCCCTCCCGTCCCGCTCTCCTTTTCAATGCCTCTCTGTCCTATCACCCCTCTCTGTCCTATCACCCCTCTCCGTCCTATCACCCCGCTCTCTCCCATCACCCCTCTCTATAACACCTCGCTACCCGCTGGGTCAAAACGAGGGTGTTATTTTGGCGCAGCGGAATGCCCATTAACACTGCCTACAGGCGTTACACTCGTCCCCCTTGCCGCCGATATTTTTGGACGCAAAACTCCATTTGCGCATCGCGAGTCCCTCCAGTTGTTTTTTTCCCAACAGTAGCTCCGAAAATCTCGCATGCACGTTGACGGCTAACTGCCGCACAGGACGACGACTCCGCTAATTTCGTGCAGATGCTGACGCAGGTCCGCTGACGCGAGCTGCCACACAGATACATCAGAAATCGTGGGTACGTAGTGGAAATTTTACGCACGTTAACGTCGCGACCGTCACAGCTATCTGTTTCCGAGGGGGAGGGAGGTCACGGTCGATCGCGATCGTCGAAGGCAAGGATCCGTCGGCCACCAAGAGCGCATGATAAAATCATGGCCGCAAAGACGAACTAAGACGTTATCTTGGCCGGCCATCGGCCACTTGGGCCCCAGGACATCCTTCCCCCCCCCCCCCCCTCCCCCCCCCCCTCTCCTTCCCCAAGGGGTAATACACTCTGAAAAGCGGCGTAGGCTAGGAAATATCTGTCTTGGGGAAGCGAGAGGCTGTGGAGGATGGGTTCCGGCAACTAGGGGAGGCGGATACGAGGTGGCGACACGGCGAGGTGGCAGCGACGACGGGTAAACGACGCAACCGCGCAGGCGGCGACGTCGCGAGCTAGTCGCGATGTCGTCATTCGCATGCGATGAGGCATAACCCTGTACCCGGGGGGGAGGCGGACACTCTACACGTGGGCTATGTCATAGTGGCGCTAGGAATTTTATGTTTAGATTCCTGGTATTTGTAATGCAGTTTCTAAGCTTTCAAGTCAAAGCTCTCCTTGGTCTATCACTTGCGTTGTCGGGATGATCGGCTCACTTTATCTCCGCTTGGTACTTTGCGCCCTACACTTGATTTTTGCCCTTACGCTGGTGTGTTCCCCCAACCCAACGTCCGTACGAAATTGGTTGACATCGCCAGCCTCCATTCAAATCTGGGCACATTTGCAACTACAGCACTCAAAACTCAACGACAGTTTTCGAAACTGGATTTCGGTCAACCCTTCGCCCTTGAGGGAAGGATTTTCTGTCGATCGACAGAAACGCAGCCATGTGTGCGCGCTTTTACCACACCCTAGGACCCACATGCATGTCTTACCTTTGCCCTCACCGTCTGTCGACGAGCGGCGACTTGGTGCTTCCATAACGAGTTATCATATTATGCTTTCATTGTGGTAGTACGTGTGTGCAATGCCGGCGTCGGAAGAGCAGAGCCAGGGAGCCGCCGAGAGGGACGGAGCTGGCAGTGACCGCGTGGCGTCCACCATCGCGGCATCCCTCCTGTCTCTCGCCGCTCCTAAGCCCCTCGTCTCCTTCCTCCGCTCGCCGCTCCACGCCGCGCTGCTGTGCCTCCCCGTCGTCGCGTTTCTCCTCGTTGTCGTGCGACAGCCCGTCGCCGTGGAGCACATTGCGATCCACTCGGTCGAGGAGCAAATCGATTGGAGTCGCTGGGGGAGCAGAAGGGATCGCCAGCGTCGCACGAGTCGCCAGCATCGCACGAGCAACTTCAGCGACGAGTTGACGAACTGCTGGCCTCATGGGCTGCTCAGCTCGCAGAGTCGTCGCCGACCGTCGCAGATCCAGTCGCAGGCGACACAGAGGGCTCCAGTCAGAGCGTCGCGTCACTTCCGACCGAATTTGCAGCCCCGCCTGCGGCGCTGGTTCCGGCGCCGCATTTGGCGGACTGCGCGGCGAATGCGCGCGTGTATGCGGAGGAGCACTGGGCCAACCGCCCCGCCGATGGCGCCGACCCGCCCTGGGCCGCCCTCAGACGCCATGCGGGCGAGGGGGAGGGGAAAGGGGAGGGGGATGGGGATGGGGAGGGGGAAAAAGGGGGGGAAGGGGAAGGGGGCAAGAGGGAGAGTGAGATAGGCGGGAGCAGCGCAGGGGGAGTGCGGAGAGAGGATGTGCGCGGAGGAGAGGCATGCGGGGAGGGGGCGGCGATGGAGGGGCCGTTGCCGCCGTGGGTGGAGGGCGCGGACGCGGACAACTACCCGCTCACGCGCGTGGTGCAGCGCGACCTCTGGCGCCTCCAGTTCCCGCGCAACTGCTCCCACCCCGCTGTAAGGCGAGTGGCTCCGCGCACCCCCGGGGGGGGGGGGGGGGCTGCGCTGCGTGCTGAGCATGCCCCATGCGTCATGCCGTGCACCCACCTCCTCGCCCTCACCATGCCCGCCACCTGCCCTCAGCTTCCCCACCTGTCCCCGCCCGTCCCCGTCCCCCTCGCCTCCTCCGCAGGTTCCTGCTGGCGCCAGTGGGGGGGAGCGGGCGGCACGGGCTGGGCACACAGATGACGCTGCTGGCGGGTGCGCTGGCGCTGGCCGTGCGCAGCGGGAGGGTGCTGGTCATTGCGCAGGCGGGGGCGAGGGGCAGGGGGCGCGGGGGCGTGGGGCTGCTGGGGGGCTTTCAGCGCGCGGAGCACGAGGGGTGTGCGCGTGAGGGCATGCGCGGCGAGTGGCGCTGCTACTTCCTCCCAGAGACGTCCGACGAGTGCAGGCGGTGAGGCGAGTGCAGGCGGTGAGGCGTGTTGCAAGTGAAGAGTTGAGGCAGGGCAGGTCCAAAGGTGTAGCAGGTGAGAGGAAGGGTGGTAGATGCATGGCATGTGCCCCTCATCCACATGTATGGCATGTGCCCCTCATCCACATGTATGGCATGTGCCCCTCATCCACATGTATGGCATGTGCCCCTCATCCACATGTATGGCATGTGCCCCTCATCCACATGTATGGCATGTGCCCCTCATCCACATGTATGGCATGTGCCCCTGATGTGCCCCTGATGTGCCCCTGATGTGCCCCTGATGTGCCCCTGATGTGCCCCTGATGTGCCCCTGATGTGCCCCTCATCCACACACACCTGCATGTGAGTTACCTTCAAGAGATATCAAAACTGATATGAGCCCGTCCACTCTCACTGCACTGATATGAGCCCGTCCACTCTCACTGCACTGCGCTTCACAACCCTTCCATCCCCACCCTGCCCTCCCGCCAGCCGTGCACACGCCCTGGCCAGGCGTGCCGCGTCCTTCCAGGGCGCCCACCCGCTGCTCGCCACCACCAAGCACCCCTCCCTCGCCGCCCCCACGCCCTTTCAACCCGGGGGCTCAGGGGAGGGACAGGAAGCTGAGCAGGGCAGAGGGGAGGAAGAGGGGGCAGAGGGGGAGGATGGGGGGGAAGAGGAGTCGGGGGGCAGGCAGCGGCGGCGCAAGAGGGGGACGCGGCCGCTGTTCTTCCCGGCTGTGCCGTCGCGGTGGGGGCAGCCGTGGCTGGCCATCCCGGGCGTGGTGGAGGCGGAGGGGCGCCTCATCGTCACCAACCGCTTGAAGTCAGCCGCCTCGATCCCTTCCAACCCCTCGCTTCTCGCCTTCCTCCTCCGCTCTCCGTGTTTCTCGCTGCCAACACCTTTTCCTTTGCATGCCCCTTCGCCCTCAAGGCAGTGCCTGAGACTAGTGCCTGCTCTGGCTCACCGTAGGCTCCCACTCGCACTATTCATCGTTCTCCCCCTCCCCCCCCGCCCCGCCCCTCATCGCAACAGCACGCACCGCTGGTGGCGCGCTCAGGCTACTCTCTTCTTCCTGAGACTAGTCCCTGCTCTGGCTCAACCCAGCATCCCACTCGCTGCACCACACATTGCTCTCCCCTTACCCCCAGCACCCTTTCCCCCCCCTCCTCCCCCTCTCCCAGCAACACACACCGCTGGTGGCACGCCCAGGCTGCGCGCTTCTTCCTGAGGGCACCCTCGCCGCGCCTCTGCCGTCTGCTCAACGCCCAGCGCCACCTCTCCTACGGCCGCCTCGCCGCTGCTGCCGTCGCCCAGGCTGAACTCGCTGCCGCCCAGGCTGACGTGGCACTAGCACAGGCTGATCTGGCTGTAGCTCAGGCGGACGTGGCTGTGGCACAGGCTGACGCCACTGTAGCAGAGGGAGGTGCGGCTGTAGGAGATGGGGAAATGGCAGTCACTGGGTTACCTGCCTCTGCTGCACTGCCCGCTGGCCCATCTGGCAGCACCTTGCTGTGGACCATTGCACCTGGTGAGATGCTGCACTCAAGTCCCGCTAAGCCATGCCTCCCACGCACTGCCGCTGCTCCCACACATTGCCTCGCATGGACTCCTAGGGTGCGACTGGGGGTGCTCTGAGGTGCTGCTTAATGCTTCCTCATCCCATGCCCCTTTCCTTGCTCTCCCTCCAACGTCTCCTCTTCCTTATGCCCTCTGTCTGCACGCCCTCCCTCATCCCTTGGAGTGCCACCATGGGCACCCACTGTGCTTGCAGTACATCGCGCCTCCCTCACTCGTAACCTGCACTAGTGCACATGTGACCGCCGTCTCTCTCCCCCCCTCCCCTCCCCCTCCCTCGATCGCCTCACCCCAGGCCCAATGGAGCGGCAGCTGTGGTGGCGGGTGCGGGTGCCGTGGGTGCCGCGGGCGCTGGTGAGCATGCACGTGCGCATGGGCGACAAGGGGCGCGAGATGCGAGTGGCGGGCGTGGGGGAGTACGTGCGCCTGCTGCTGCGCGTGCGCCGCCACGACCCGCACGCGCGCTTCGTGTGGCTTGCCACCGAGATGCAGCCCGTGAGTCACCATGGTGCTGCAGTGCTGCTGTCTGCCTGGGGTGAATACGGGTGATTTGGGTTGCCGTGGCACGAAATGCGAGTTGGAAGTGCGAGGAGTAGGGCTTGTGTGGAGCTTTCAGTGAGTCCCATTTGAAACAGCGACACAGTCTTCCAACCCAACTTGTATGTGTTATTATCGCGCACATTCTTCCTCAACTCCCCGGCCCACCGCCACCACACACCAGGTGGTGGAGCAGCTGACCGGCATGGGCGGGTGGACGTGGTTCACGACAGCAGTGCCGCGCATGGCGGGCAACGACAGCATGCCTGCGTACGAGCGCGCGCTGGGCGTGCAGCGCAGCACTGACAACGCGTTTGTGAACCTGCTGCTGGCGGGCGAGGCGGACTACTTCATCGGTGCACTCGGGTCGTCCTGGTCCTTCCTTCTCGACGCCCTGCGCTGCACCGCCGGGAAGATGCGCCGCGGCTTCCTCAGTGTCAACGTTTCTCCCCGCTGGTAGTCGCACTGTCGCTGGACCTTGTGCCCTCGGCCTGCTGACTCTTGAACTCTGGACATATGCGTGCTGTGTTTCCCCCAATAAAATGTCTGAGGGTCTTGTCTCATCTAAACATACATCCAATCGCAAGGCTGTCCTAGCAATGTCTCAATCAGTGTGTGTAATGGCAGAACGCTGGATACGACTGATGAGATGTATCATAGAGACAAAGTGTTATGTTTGTGAACTAAAGAGTGAGTGGAACTCAATAACGAAGCTTCACTGTCAATACAATTATTCGCAATACAACAAAGCCTAGCAAAGATATATCGAGGGAACTGTCTAGGAGGGTGTCAAAGTACAATCTCACTTGTAGGCTATAGTGGGGCACTCCTTATGGGGTACAGCACTTCTAGGGTTAGTACTTGTACCCCAACTCTTGCTAATCCAATCATTCCTGCACAGTGATTCTGACATGGTATTCAGAGCAAGAAACCTGTTACCGTATGGCCCCGGATATAGGCGCCGTCCGATTAAAGGCGCCGGCGCCTATATCTGGAGCATGGCGCTTATGGTCGTTCCTCGATTATAAGCGCCCCCCCTGTAAAACCCTGATTTATTATAAGCGCATGCATAATTTTATTCTTTCAAGCGAGTCAGCACCCATTTTCACTTTGTTTGACTTTCGAGGTCCTGACTGGTTTCGCGTCCAGTCAGGATGAGGTGGCACGCGGGCAAATTGACGTGCGAAAAGCTATGTGCAGCGTCAGAGATTCGCCCTCACGCGATTCAAATTCGGGACGCTATAAAATGTCGACTCGATTGAACTTACGAGACGGAAATGTACAATTTGATGCGCTTAAGTTGTATTTCTGTATTTGTCATTATATAAGCGCCGGCGCTTATGGCCGATACTCAATTCAAAGCGCCCCCCCCAAAAAAACTGATTTTATTATAAGCGCATATGCGCTACTATCCGGGGTAATACGGTAAGTTTTTAGGGCCCACCGATAGTTCCGCTAGTTCCTGCCCGAAGCGCCCTTGCGCTGTCCGGCCCTGCTTGCACAGTGTCGCGCTGCCCTGCAGCTACTCGCACTGCCTGCCCCCGCACGTCGCGCCCTGCTGCAGCCTGCGAGTCGCGCCCTGCTGCCCTGCCCAGCGCGCGCCGCCCTGCCCTGCAGCCAGCGCCCAGCTGCCCTGCAGCCCGTGCATCGCGCTGCCCTGCCCTTAGGCCCGCGCGCCGCCCTGCCCTGCAGCTCGCGAGCCGCACCGCCCTGCGCTGCAGCCCGCACGTCGCGCCCTGCTGCCCTGCGCGTCGCGCCCTGCTGCCCTGCACAGCTCGCGCCCTGCTGCCCTGTCCACCGCGCGCCCTGCAGTGCAGCCCGCGGCGCGCCCTGCCTTGCCCAGCCGCGCCGCCCAGCCCTGCCGAGCCGCGCCGCCCAGGCCGAGCCGCGCCGCCCAGCCCGAGCCGCCCTGCCCAACCCGAGCCGCGCCGCCCTGCCTCATTCACCAGCCCCACCGAGCCGCCCTGCTGCTACTACTGCTACTGCTGCTGCTGGTGGAGGTGCTGCTGGGAGTGCTGGCGGTGCTGCTGGTGCTGGAGGTGCTGGAGGTGCTGGTGGGAGTGCTGGAGGTGCTGCTGGTGCTGGAGGTGCTGGACCTGCTACTGACCGTCACTGCCTGTCATGGCCACTATCACAGCAGTTGCAGCGGCTAGGGGTGGACAGCAGCAGTCACTGCCTCTCCCGGACGACCCCACCCCTCAGCAGCTTCGTGAGTGGGTTATTCAGCGAGGCCGTCCTGGTGGTGGAGGTATTGGTTTTATGGGTACTGCACAGCGGCGGCAGCGGCGTCCGCAGAGCACCTTCTCCCTGCAGCGGCCTCGCGACTGTGCTTCTCAGCGATGCGTCCCTGGTTGTGTAGAGGCTGCTGCTTTCGGTTCTAGTGAGTCTGCTGCCGCTCCAGGTGCTGGTGAGTCTGCTGCAGCTCTAGGTGCTCGTGAGTCTGCCGACGCTCTAGGTGCTAGTGCGTCTACTGCCACAGGTCCTGCCTTAGCTGAGGCCTTGCACACTTTCACGCTTGACTCAGGCGCGTCACATTGCTTCTTTCGTGATTGCACCACAGTCACACCACTCGCAGCACCTGTCCCAGTCTCACTGGCTGACCCCACTGGGGGCCCAGTAGTTGCGCGAGCCTCCACTGTCCTCCCGTGTCCGGCAGTCCCCTCCGAGTCTCTCTCAGGTCTCCACCTCCCCGCGTTCTCGACGAACTTGTTGAGCAACGCTGTTCTCCAGGATGAATGGGTTGACACCTTCATTCCTGGAGGACAGCGTGTGGCGATCTGTAAGTGCTCACGCACTGGCTGTCACCTTGCTACGTTCACTCGTCAGCCTGGGTCCGGTCTGTACACACTGACCACTGCGTCTGCACAGGTGGCTGAGTTAGGTCAGGTGGCTGCGTCGAGTCGGGTGTCTGCGTCTGGTCAGCTTGCAGCGTCTTGCTCGTGTCGGGTACTCTCTCACCAGACTCTCCTCTAGCACCACCGCCTAGGTCACCCCTCGCTGCCGCGTCTCCGCAGCATGCACTCCCGTCTCCTTGTCTCTGGCCTTCCCAGGTCCCTGCCCTCCCTCCCGCGCTCGCCTGCACTGCCGTGCCTTCCCTGCATCGAGGGGTGGCAGCACGCCGCTCCGAGTTTCCTCCGACCACTGCTCCTCTGTAGACTCTCCACATGGACGTGTAGGGCCCGACCCCTGTCGGTGGAACAGACCAAGCGCTACTTCCTGCTGGTTGTTGACGACTACACACGCTACACCACTGTCTTCCCCTTGCGGCGTAAGGCGGACGTCAGCGGTGTTTTGATCCCCTGGATCCGTGCTACTCGTCGCCAGCTGCGCGAGCGGTTTCCTCGGGACTTGCCAGTCCTGCGTCTGCACTCTGACAGGGGCGTTGAGTTCTCTTCTGGCCTCCTTGAGGAGTTCTGTTGAGACGAGGGCATCCGCCAGACGTTCACGCTTCCGGCCTCTCCTCAGCAGAATGGGATTGCTGAGCGTCGCATTGTCTTGATCATGGAGGTTGCTCGTACCTCCATGATCCATGCGGCTGCTCCCCATTTTCTGTGGCCGTTTGCGGTCCGATACGCTGCGCATCAGCTCAACCTCTGGCCCCATGTCTCTGAGCCAGAGACCTCGCCCACACTCCGGTGGACGGGGAAGGTTGGCGATGCGTTGGTGTTTCGGGTCTGGGGCGCGCTCTCCCTTGTTCGCGATGCCAAAGCGAGCAAGCTCTCCTCTCGCACTCTCTGCTGCGTCTTCCTTGGCTTCCCCACCGACGCCCCGCCGTGGCAGTTCTACCACCCGCGCTCGCGTCAAGTCTTCTCCTCCCCGACGTCACTTGTGACGAGTCTGTCTGTTTCTACAGGCTACACCCGCACGCGTCCCACCCGGTCCCCCTAGCGCCTCTTTTCTTGGTACCAGTCCCCCCCCCGGTAGACCCCCTCCCCCCACAGGGTCCTGCTCCCTTAGGTGTGTCTCGGGTAGACCCACCCCCCTTGGTTGAGCCTGTGGAGATCTCTTCTGACTCCTCTGGCCCAGCTGAGGGGGGTGACCCCGCCGCTAACGACACGGCGGCCACTCGCCGCTCTCCACGCTTGGAGACCCCCCCTGGTTTTCCGCCTCGGTCGTCTTCGCCGCCTCCGCAGCCTGCTGCTGTGGACTCTGGAGCTGAGACTGCTGGTGCTGAGCCTGGGGGTGCTGAGACAGAGGGTGAGGGTTCTGGGGGTGCTGCGACTGGGGGTGCTGGTTCTGGGGGTGCTGCGACTGGGGGTGCTGACTCTGGGGGTGCTGCGAGTCCTAGTGGCGGTGGAGCTGTGGGTGACCCTGCTGGAGGTCCTGGAGCTGGACAGCCACCGCAGCTTGATCTACTTGAGACGCTCTCAGCGCAGGCGATTCGTGCGTGGATCGTTCGGCGAGGCAGTCCTGGTGGTGGAGAGTACGGTCCTGCTGGTGCTGGAGCTGCTAGTCCTGGAGGTACTGCTGGTGCTGGAGGTACTGCTGGAGGTGCTGCTGGTGCTGGAGGTACTAGAGGTGCTGCTGGTGCTGGAGATACTGGAGCTGCTAGTCCTGGAGGTACTGGAGGTGCTGCTGGTGCTGGAGGTGCCGGAGCTACTAGTCCTGGAGGTGCTACTGGTGCTGGAGGTGCTGGACCTACAAGTCCTGGAGGTCCAGCTGCTGCTGGAGGTGCTGGACCTGCTGGCACTGGAGGTGCTGGTGCTGCTGGTGTTGGAGGTGCTGGAGGCGCTGGAGCTGGAGGTACTGGAGGTGCTGGAGCTGCTGGTCCTGGAGGTGCTCGTAATGGAGGTGCTGGAGCTGCCGGAGCTGGTGGTGCTGCTGGTGCTGGAGGTGCTGGAGGGGCTGCTGGGGGTACTGGAGCTGCTGGCACTGGAGGTGCTGGTGCTACTGGTGCTGGAGCTGCGGGAGCTGCTGTTCTGGAGGTGCTCGTACTAGAGGTACTGGAGCTGCCGGAGGTGCTGGTGCTGCTGGTGCTGGAGGTGCTAGAGGTGCTGCTGGTACTGGAGGCACTGGAGCTGGAGGTACTGGAGGTACTGGAGCTGCTGACGGTACGGGTACTGGGTCGCGCCGACCGTTTTTTTCTACCCGCAGCCCCAGTCGTCCCTTCCACCACCTAACTCAGCCCTTCGCCAGGTTCTTAGTCTCCCGTCTTCCACTGGCCTCACTCCACCTCTCTTGTGTCCACCGACAGACCAGTCTCTGCCACAGCTACTGCCTGGCTCCCCGCTGCCTGCTCCTACTCCTCACACTGAGGTGACTGAGTCCCTGACTGAGCGTCGTGAGCCCGAGACTCGTGCTTCCACGCCTGTTCGTGCTCGTCGTGTAGCCCGTCCTCGTCCTCCTGCTGTCCCAGGCACTCACGATATGGCACTTCGTCCTTCCTCTGTTCCATAGCGTGTTGTCCTGCCTGAGCCTCCCGCGTCATCTCTTCCGCACGTTCCTGACCCTGAGTCCGAC